CGGGATTGGAAGCAGAGCGGAGACTTGATCCCAGGCGCTCTGATGGGGCCTTCCCAGGCAGAGGCTTAACCCACTGTGCTACAAAATCAGTATAAAAATATATGATTGTAGATAAATATTATTAGTTTATAATGTTTAAATGATTGCTACATAAATAATATAAATTATTAAATTATTAACAATCCGCAGCTTCAAAGTAGCATATATCCATAAACATAACCCACGTTAACAAAAGGTTTTTGGAGGCCCGGCTGATTTTTAAGAGTGAAAGCGGTTGTGAAATCCAAGACTTTGAGAAACACTGTTCTAGGCGGTTCTCTTGTATCTTCCCTACTGGACTGGTAAGCACTTGAAGGCAAAGGTTTAATCAGCACATTCACAGTTTTATTTCCTATTCTTCTATTGTTTTAGTGACTTGGGTCTTTCCTATCAAATTCCTCATGCTGAATGATATAAGCCATAAATCCTTTAAAGAAGGTATTTTGTTTGACCGATTTCTTTTTAAATCTTGCCTGATGTCTTGTGCTTAACAAGAGTTCAGGAATGCACAATATAGTGATGGGCTAGGACTGAAAAAAATTTCTTAAAAAGTCTAGCAAAGTAAGTACTTCCATGTTTCCTCCAAAATAGTTGTGGTGTATGAATATAAACTTATTCTAGGGGCTGGCGCTGTGGAGTAGCGGGTAAACCTGCCGCCTGCAGTGCCAGCATCCCATATGGGCACTGGTTTGAGTCCTCGCTGCTCCACTTCCGATCCAGCTCTCTGCTATGGCCTGGGAAAGCGGTAGAAGATGGCCCAAGTCCTTGGGCCCCTGCACCCATGTAGGAGACCCAGAAGAAGCTCCTGACTCCTGGCTTCAGATCAGCTCAGCTCCAACTGTTGCCACCATTTAGGGAGTGAACCAGCAGATACAAGATCTCTCTATCCCTGTCTCTCCCTTTCTGTAACTCTGACTTTCAAATAAATAAATAAATATTTATATTAAAAAGAAAATATACTTATTCTGACTAAGGCTACTGTCTGATAAGTTTGCGCATTATAATTGCCTTCCAGCCTGGGAAGGTGTAAAAGTGTGTATGTTCTCATGATTGAAAAACTATTATCTTTTGAGGGTAGGTTTGACTTTCTGAAGGAGCGTGAAGTCATTTGAAATAAAATTGAAGAAAGCTGATTATAAATGACCTGGTTTCCTCTTTCACCGACTCAATTCCAGTGGCAATTCCAAAGTGTTATCTAAGTATTTTTGTGCAATGCATTGTTCCTTTGTGATGCCATCTATGTGTTTATGAAGCTCCTGCTATATGCTTTACTGTTATATATAAGTTTCCTCAATGCATTTTGTGGATGTGTCAGGGTGAAAGGACATAGAAACTTTGGTCTCAGTCTTTGTGATGCTCAAAGCATGGTGCAGCAAACATTTTGGCTAAGGTTTAAACTCCTCTAATTGTGGGCCATTTGCCTCCAAAGATTAAAAAAAAAAGAGTAGAAAAGTTGTCCTGTGTTATTTAATAGCTTCATCATCTGATGAATCAGGACATATGAAGTGTTAATAACTGCAACTGGGGCCCACAACAGTGCCTATTAATAATAGGTTAGCTGCCTTCAAAAGCTTACAGCATTCTACTTACTTTGGCATGTTGACCAAGAATCTCTCTCATGCTGAGTGTGTCTTGACATTCTGCTTTGTCTGTTTAAATTTGCCCTCCAGGGTTTCCAGACATTGAAGAGTATGGCATGAAACAAACTTAGCCAGCCTATAAAGTCATGATGTTTGCAAAAACAAGAATACACGGTGTGTTGCTTTGCAATATTTTAACTGTGTCTTCTGTTTATTGGTGGCTATCTTAAAGCCACGAATTTTGAATGGGAAGACCACTTCCTTAATCTGAATTTTCCCCTGGAGCTCAGCGTAGTAGGCTTTTTGTTGCTCCCAATCTTCTTGAATCTTGTTTCTGAGATTCCACAGGACACCTACCAGATCTCAGTTTGCTCTAAAGCTGGTGACGCAAAGTTTTGGATTCTCCAATTTCCAGAATGGCATCTAGAGGTTCTAACCGAGAGCCCTTAGGACAAACTAATCAACCAAGTGTCAGCAAGTAGTACTCAAAAAGTTAAAAAGGACTTGCATACACACAATATATAGCAAACTCACGCATAGGTCAAAAAATAATTTGACTGATGAATGAAGGAACGAGCAGGATGACAAAGTTAGGCCAAAAGAGGATACTGGAAAATAAAATATGTGTTTACCAGGAAGGGAAAGTATGGTGGAAGAAGGCTGAAAAATCAGACACAGAATGGTTAATGTCGTATTAGGCAGCATTAACATATTCTTTTAGGGTTATCTTTTCCACTGGAAACATTCATTTGCATCGTTACTGGACAAAACTCTTATTATTTATTAATCTGCAAGTGGATATCTTATTCACATCATCTGGGCCCACTCAAAGGAAGCAATTAATTAGTTAACTACCTAAAGCTGTACTGTCCAGTATGGCAGCTACATGTGACCACTGGGCACCTGGAATGTGCTGGTCTGAATGGAGATGTTCAATAAGCATGAAATACACACCAGATTTTGAAGCTTCTCTTTAAAGAAGAATACAACACATCAACATAAAATGCTGATAATATTTTGAAGTGATAATATTTTGGGTATATTGTTCTAGTTAAATGAAAACTATTAAAATTATGTTCTTTTCTTGCAATGTTCTCACAGAAAATTAAAAAGTGATGTATGTGATTCACATAGTATTCATTGTCTAGTGGTGCCTCAGAGTATCACATGATCCAAAAGTTAACTTTTTAGGTAATTCTCTAATACAGCCTGGAAGAACATAAAGAAATCCTTTTTTCCTTGTTTTAAAATTTTGCTCCATTTTTCTCAGTACAAATTATAAGGAATCAGGAGAAGGGTTAGTAGTTCTTCTGTCTTCTGCCCGTGACCATGTGGCTAGCACACTGCAGGCAAGATTCTGGTTTGCTGGCTATTCTACGTGGCTTGAAGTCTGGACTTCAGAACTGCATGTAAAGAGACATGGTTTGATTTAATTGATTCAGTCCGAACAATCATATTAGAGAGCTGCATCATAGCAATCAGATTTTTTCGCTCATTATCCAGGACAGCAATTTATAGTGAAGGGAGGATCAGTGACCTGGTACCCAGGACTTCACGCAGCAGTTTTCCTGGTGTATGTGAACTCTTAGCTGAGTTTCAGATGAAACGGGGCTCATTGCATATAGTTTTGGAGCACAGGAACATGTTCTTATTTCCCTTACTAAGACATATTAGTAGGATGAAAGCACTTCAGTCATTTGTACTCTTGAACAATGTCTTAGAACTCCTACAAGTCACACAGGAGGACAGCCAGTGTGAAGTGGTTTCTATGGCTGCTAATTCATCCATCACTAATCTCTTAGGCTGTTAATTCCCAGAGGACATGAGTGGTAGTAGACCTTGTTTCTAAATGTCAAACAAGTGTTATTTCACGAAATCACGGGGCCACTCGGGGTTTAAAAGACGTGTCAGTTTTCATTCATCACTGAACTCAATTTCTATCACTATTTTTGACTTTACCACAATCTAGAGCTGATATCTTTAACATATATTTTCATGTAGACATATATTTGAATAGGAGGTTCTGCTGAGTTACAATGCCCTTGACCCTAAACATAAATATATAATTATACTAAATATGTGAGCAGAAAGTTACCTTGTGTTTTCTCTCGAGGGAAAAAACATTGCAACTACTTGGCATCAAAGGTTAAAACATGAAGTAGCAAGCCTGCAATTAGCAAAGCAAATTTTAGAATAGAACGGCCGATTTTAAAAGGGATGAGAAGTGGTGCTATCAAACTCATAGGCAACAGCAGGTATAACAATTTACATGTTCGGTTTACGTTTTTGCCATCTAATTTGTATGTGCGTGTTTCAAATCTATGGCTCATGAATCAAAAGTGTGTTTTGTTAAAGTCAGCCGATTTATTTCCATCTCTGAATTTCTAGTTGGACGGAGTTCTCTAAACCATGACATATGTAAGGTATTGTTACTGGAAATAACCTGGACATTTCTTGGTCTGCACTTGATCTTGTACTGCAGAATATAAAAATAAATAAATAAATACATCGGATGCTTGTTTCCTTTGAAAGCATGCCATCTCAATGTCCTAACTGCCAAGTTTAAGGGGGGCCTTTGGCAGGCTTCAGGCGTCTCCCTTCTTCCCTAATTATCCCTATTCTTGAGGGTCAGACCCCCTGCCTCGCACAACTCAGAGGGGGACCTGAAAGCTTTTTAAAAACAACCCAATGTCTCCTTTTGGAGCGGTGAAAAGGATGCCCCGCCCCCACCTATGAAAAGAGATTTGGTAGTTTCCAAGTCTTTAAATCAAAGATTCAAGTCTCTAACCCCTCACCACCCAGGACCCCCCCGAGGCCCAGGAACCCCCTCCCATCCCGGCCTAAGGGCTTCGGACGGGTCCCGGGACCCCCGTCCCAGCCCGCAGTTCCTGTGGGTCTGCACGCAGAATTCACCGAGGACCTGTGTTACTTCCCTTGCGAAGAAACAGAATTATCGTCAAAATCTGGGTGGAAACGATTCCATTTTTGTCCCAAAAATAAGGAAAGCATCTACTTTACCACCCCTGAGAAAAAGAACTTTGAGGGGCAAAGGAGTGAACAGGTAATTTAGAAGAAAAACAGAAAGTGGTCTATGACTGCCTTGGACTTCCTTGGGAGTTGGGGGAGTTGGGGACTCCTGGACAAGTTGCCTTTGGGGTTACAGGAAAAGTAACTGGCGAGCATGAAGCCCGAGGCTTCTCGGATCATTTCCCGACCAAACCCGAGTGATTTGGTGCGGGATATTTTAATATTTTCTCCCTTTTGTGAGGTGGAACAAACACAACTTGGGCGCAGCGCGGCGGCTCGGAGCCTGCCAGGCGGCGGGCGCGCGGAGCACCAATCAGCGCGCGCCTGCGCTCTATATATACCGCGGCCCTGCCCCGCGCCGCTCCATCGGTGCTGCGCCACTTGTACCCGCGCTCTAGTCCTCAGCATGTCGGAGACCGCTCCCGCCGCTCCCGCCGCCGCCCCCCCGGCGGAGAAGACCCCGGTGAAGAAGAAGGCGGCTAAGAAGCCTTCCGGGGCGCGCCGCAAGGCGTCCGGGCCCCCGGTGTCCGAGCTGATCACCAAGGCCGTGGCCGCCTCCAAGGAGCGCAGCGGGGTGTCGCTGGCCGCGCTCAAGAAGGCGCTGGCGGCCGCCGGCTACGACGTGGAGAAGAACAACAGCCGCATCAAGCTGGGCCTCAAGAGCCTGGTGAGCAAGGGCACCCTGGTGCAGACCAAGGGCACCGGCGCCTCGGGCTCCTTCAAGCTCAACAAGAAGGCGGCGGCCGGCGAGGCCAAGCCCAAGCCCAAGAAGGCGGGCGCCGCCAAGCCCAAGAAGCCCGCCGGGGCGGCCAAGAAGCCCAAGAAGGCGACGGGCGCCGCCACCCCGAAGAAGGCTGCCAAGAAGACCCCGAAGAAGGCCAAGAAGCCGGCGGCTGCCGCTGTCACCAAAAAGGTGGCCAAGAGCCCTAAGAAGGCTAAGGTGGCCAAACCCAAGAAGGCGGCCAAGAGCCCAGCCAAGGCTGTGAAGCCCAAGGCGGCTAAGCCCAAGGCTGTCAAGCCCAAGAAGGCGGCCCCCAAGAAGAAGTAGACTGCCTGCTTCCCAAACCCCAAAGGCTCTTTTCAGAGCCACCACGGACCTCCGGGAAAGAGCTGGACACTTCTCGCTGTCTGCTCTCGGCCTCCGCCCTCGCTCCGCTCCCCCGGAAGCTGTAACGACCCACGCGTGGGGTTGCGGGGCCCAGGGGCCTGCTCAGCGTCGTCGGCGCTCCCACCCCTCCGCGGCCCTGGCCCGCGGCCAGCTGCGCGGCGGGTGTTTCCGCTGGCCGGTGTGCGCTCAGGCAGCCCTGCCAGCCCCTCCCCGAGCCTGCGAGCTGCCAAAACCAGCGCAGACGCATGGAGCCAGGTTCCCAGCCTCTGATGTCTGCGCTGGGCTGGAGACGGATTCAAAAGTCCCGCCCTGCTCGGGGGTTGGCGCTCGCCTGCGGCCCGCTGCGCTCACCCTGTGCGGTATTGGGTGCCGGCTGCGGTTCGCTCTGTGGTTAGCGGCCGTCTGCCTCAGGGTTTGACGTTCCCGCTGGCAGGGAAGGTGTGCGGGATGTCGGACGTTTGGCGCATCTCTGACCCTGGGGCGACAGGGAACGGCCAGCGCCTCTGCCCGCGCCCCGCTGCTGCGGATGCCTGAGGGCCGGGGGCCGCGGGCGCCCTGAAGAAGTGGAGCGGCGGCCTCGCCTGTCCGCCCCGCGACCCTAGGGTCTTCCCCACAGAAAGGTGCGAAGGGCGTGGGCGCAGCAAAACCCACGTCTGGTTGGCCATTTTGTCCTCGTTTGATCACTAGCTAAAATTCAACTTGTTTGTACGCATTTTTTTTGTGTGTGTGTGGAATCCAGGTGTTTGCGAGAAAAAGTACTGGTTATTGGAAATGTGTATTGGAGGTGCGGAGATGTTCCTTGTAATAAAGGCTTCTGATTTGCGTGAGTGTTGTCCAAGTTGTTTCACATGCACGCTTTTGCTCTGCGAATCCCACCGTCCTGTTTTGTGTCCTTGTGGACGCAGACTGGCAAACCTAGTGACGCGGGCAGCCTGCTGGAGATCGCACCGCTGCTTCCGGAAGGCTGCCGCCAGGGTGAGTTCATGTCTCCGTAGTGTGGATAGTGACTGGGGTTGCCGCCGGGAGGGAGGGAGGGAGGGCGAGCGCGAGAGCAGGAGGGAAGAGGAAATTCTGCCCCCCCCCCCGCCCCTTCTGTGTCGCTGACTTTACATCAGCATGAAATAATGCAGCCCTCGGAATTTTGGTTAAGGCTTAGTATTTGGACCTGTCTTTTCTCCAAGACCATTTGTGAACTCTTGTTCATTTCTGTCCCTTGCACCTTTATCATAGACTATATGCACAAGTGTGTTAAATCCTGGGCTCTTTTTTTTGTGGCTTTGGTCTTTGGCCATTCTTTAGGTAGGGTAGGATCATACCGTTTTAAGTGCTGTTCACAACGCTATATGTAATACTCAGCATACCAAGTACTCAAAAATTTAGGATTTTAATAGCTGGTAAATTTCCTCCAATCACTCTTCCTTTTCAGAATTTTCTGGGTTATTTTTTGGGGGGGTGCTTTTTCCATATGTACTTTCACAGGCCTCTCACTGCTTTATCGCTTGTCCCACATAATAATCCTCAACAATTTATTGGTAGTTTTACTGGGATTATAGCAAACTTTTTAACTTTGGAGCTGCTGAGTCTCCTTATTCAGGAATTATGTTTTTCCACTTGTTTGAGTATTTTTTGTTATCCAAGGAGCTTACATTTATCTCCAAATGCATCTTAGCATTTTTATTGCATTTATTTCCAGATATTTTCTCTGTTGCTCTCATTAATGGGAATCTATGTGGTTTTAGATTCCTTGAGGTCCAGCATCTCATGTAGTGCACACTGAAGCTACTCAATTCTCAGATCAATCGGTGAGTGAATTAACCTGTAGAACGGTGCTATTCATCGTCAAGTGAGCTGAGCACTCAAATGCAAGCCATGGATGTAATCATAAATCTTCTAGAAGTCATATGAGTAAGAAATAGGTGAAATCTATTTTGATTATATGCTTTATTTAATCCTATATATATAAAATAAAATGTTATTCACTCTAAACATCAAGGTAAAATATGTTTCTCATGCCAACTACTTTCAGTCTCCTATGTATTTGTAGGAAATCAGCTTGAGATGACCAGAGTCATTTTGGTTGTAATCATTTTGATTGTAGCCCTTTAGGTAACCCTGACAGTTTTATCTTTTTGGGATAAACAAGCCATTAAGACCCCTCCGGCTTGTTTTACTGGCCTGACCCTGCCTGGAATGTCCTTCATCTAATGCATGAAGTGTTCATTTTTCAAGAGAAAGTCTAGGTGCACTTACTTAGATAGCTGTGGATCACTTTTGTCTACCTTAACATATAAACCTCTGGCTGCTCACTGGAGATTTATAGGTCTCCTAGCCTCCAGAGACCACATCTGTTGGTAACTCTTCCCCAGTGAATTATACTTTGTATAATCCTGAATTCATCTACTCATATCCTTGGTTTCTGGTTCTCATACTCTGGGTTTTACTGAAACAGTATTTTTTACTTATAGCACGTCTCAGTTCATAGTAGCCCATTTCCAGTGGTGTTATGGCTTGAGTCTAACCATAATAAAGGCATCTTCTTTTCCTTCCTCTTCTCATATTTTACATAACAAAAAACAATTACTGATATTGTGAATGACTAGTGAATAATAACATTTGCATAGGAATTTCAGAAGCCCCCTGAGCAGAGATGACTTGGAATGGCAGACGAAACTTCAGCTTCCACCCAACTGATGCTGAGCCCCATGGTCAGTTTTCCATCAGTGCCCTTCAGGGTCTGAATCTAGGGGATTTACATACAACCAATCCTAACACCGAATATCTGCAGCAAACATATTTCCATAGATGAAGGATGTCCTTGCCTTATTTCCAAATAAGACATATTCCTTGCATTTTCAGAGTTAAAATCCTAAGTCTCCAATTTCATCTAGCCTTCTTCAATACCATATTTCCTCGGTTTTGTTCATTTTTAAATTTTGTGCATTTCATCACAATTGTTCAGATAATTGACTGACTTGGGCCCAAGATAATTCTTCGAATGTAAAACTGTTTGAAGAGAAAATTGACTTTTTTAATGTTTATGAAACTGTTGGGAAGGAAAACTTTTCTTCTACCCTAAGTTCATTGCCTGGGACTTGTGAATTTAACTGACGAAGAACAGATTTACAGCAGAAAAAAAGTAGTTAATTTTATCAGTGTTTTATATGCAAAGAGTTCAAAGAAAAAAATGACACTCCATCAAGTGGTTAGACTCAGAAACCATTCTAACAAACAGAAGGTGGCCTGGGCTTCAAGAGCCATAAATTGTGAAGTGACTAGGAAATACATGGACACAACTAATGGCCGATAAGGCTGTTTTAGTTAGGTTTGTTTTTGTTGATTCATCTCAGTGCCAACTCTATTTCTAGTGCTTTTCCTGGTATAGCTGTCCTTGTCTTTCACGAAGGAAATTTATGCAACCTTCACAAAGGAAGTTAATCTCTATTTTGAGTTGAATAAGAAAATGACAGAGAATTCTTCCTGCATCTATTCTCAATTGCCTTCAGCTAAAAATAAACCTTACACCAAAGTGGCACATTTGGGGAAGACATTCTGATCACCTTCAAAACATATACTGAATTTGATATTATTGCTATTATTATTTGGTAATATGGCATACTTGGTAACCTGCTGAGCCTCAGTTATTTTGAGTGTGATTAAAGAGGTATATCTATATTATTTTCTTAAACTTACTTTACTCATATGAAAGGCACAGTTACAGAGAAAGAGATCATCCATCCGCTGGTTCCCTCCCCAGATGGCCACAACCACCTGGTTTGGGCCAGGCTGAAGCCAGGAGCCAGGATCTTCTTCCAGGTCTCCCACGTGGGAGACCGTCTCCTGCTGCTTTCTCAGGCCCCTTAGCAGGGAGCTGGATTGGATGTGGAGCAGCCAGGTCTTGAGCTAGCACCCATATGGGATGCTTGCTTTGCAGGAGGCAGCTTTAGTGACTATATCACAATGCTGGCCTCACTGATATTATTGTAGACATTAATTTAAAAGGAAGAGAGGCAGGGAGGGAGGGAGGGAGGGAGGGAGGGAGGGAGGGAGACAGAGAGTGAGAGATCTTAAATTCACAGGTTCTTTCCCCGCATGGCTGCAACAACCAGATATGGGCCAGGCATTAGCAGCCAGGAGCCAAGAACTCCATCCTCGTCTCCCACATAGAGGGAGAGGCCCAAGAAGTTGTGCCATCATCCCAAGTGCATTAGCAGGAAGCTAGATTGGAATCAGAACTTGAACCCAGAGCTGTGATAGGGATGCCAACAGTGATTTAACCTGTATCACAACACCAGCACCTAGTGCTATTTAACTTTGCACTTAGATTTATAAAACAATACTAGGAAATAGTAATATATTTAATACTTCTCCAAACTGATTAGCTGAAAATGTCCACAAATACTCCATAAACTTTTGACTTATAATTTAGTCACGAATTCTTTTTAACATATGATAGAAATATTACAGAAAAAATGTTACTTGGCACGTGTTATTGTATAGTTTCATACACAGTCCTCTCAATGCTGAAAAATCAATTGTATTTACTTTCCATAGACAGACTTACAGGTATATTGAGAGAAATATAGAAGGTGACTTGAAGGGTGAAATCCATGCCAAAGATGGCAAGTCCAGTTCAAGGCATTAATACATCGATGGAGAATTCCAGGGGAACAAGGATGGGCCGCAGGGAGAGTGAGCAGACAGCTGAGAACAGGTGTAAAATGGAGGTAGGCCTTTGTCTCACCCCTTGCCCACCGCTTTGGGTGCTGCTGTGGACGCCATATCCCACATGGGAGGGCCTGGGCTCCAAGCCCCAGATCCACTTCTGCTCTCCACATCCGGTTAAATGCGCACTCTGGGAGGCAGCAGGTGATGACTCATTCACGTCAGGTCCCTGCCACCCAAGTGTGAAGACCCACGTTGAGCTCCCGACTTTGGGTGTGGCCCAATCCTGCTTCGGGCCGGTATTGAAAATAAAGACTGGGGGCCCGCGCCCTGGCGCAGCAGGTTAATCCTCAGCCGGCGGCGCCAGCATCCCAAACGGGCACCGATTCAGGTCCCAGTTGCTCCAATCCGATCCAGCTCTCTGCTATGGCCTGGGAAAGCAGTAAGATGGCCCAAGTCCTTGAGCCCCTGCACCCGCGTGGGAGACCAGGAAGAAGCTCCTGGTTCCTGGCTTTGGATCAGCGCGAGCGCTCCAGCCATAGCAGCCATCTGGGGAGGGAACTAATGGAAATAAGACCTTTCTCTGTCTCTCCATCTCTCAAAGTCTTTTTTTTTTTTTTTTAAATAGACTGGAAGATAGTTCAGGTACCAAAAAGTAAACAACAACAAAAAGCGAATTACCACCCTCGCCCACGGCTCTGTAAGAATTAGATGATAAAGCACAAAAAACCTGACGAGCAATGAGCCACAATTTCCTTGGCTTCCACTTTCTGTTCAAGTTAAATTTGTGTCCAAAATATTTTAACCCTAGAAACTCGACACTCACGCACTGGATAAAAACTTATCCCTGAAATAATTATGAGAAACTGAATTGAACATTTGGACAAACTAAACTTCTCACAAATTTACGTGTAATTAACTGCACTGAAAACAGCTGAAGAACCTTTGACCCAAGTTGAAGCCGTGTGCACACTGATAGCCCACCTCACCCTTACAAACTCCAAGAAACGAAGCCCAGAGACACTCCTCACCCAGACGTCATTACAACTTCTTTCAAGTGAGTTTGTGGGTGGCTCTGAAAAGAGCCTTTTTGGAATCCGATAAGCTTACAGGATTCACGCCCGCTCCCCGCGGATGCGGCGCGCCAGCTGGATGTCTTTGGGCATGATGGTGACGCGCTTGGCGTGGATGGCGCAGAGGTTGGTGTCCTCGAAGAGGCCGACGAGGTAGGCCTCGCAGGCCTCCTGCAGCGCCATGACGGCCGAGCTCTGGAAGCGCAGGTCCGTCTTGAAGTCCTGCGCGATCTCGCGCACCAGGCGCTGGAAGGGCAGCTTGCGGATGAGCAGCTCGGTGGACTTCTGGTAGCGCCGGATCTCGCGCAGCGCCACCGTGCCGGGCCGGTAGCGGTGCGGCTTCTTGACGCCGCCCGTGGCCGGCGCGCTCTTGCGGGCCGCCTTGGTGGCCAGCTGCTTGCGCGGCGCCTTGCCGCCTGTTGACTTGCGCGCTGTCTGCTTAGTACGAGCCATCTCGCGCCGGTGGGACTCAAACTTCTTGTCTGCGGCGACAGAGCTGCCTTTAAATATCGTTAGGACTACTGTGATTGGCTTCCGGATTTTCAAAAAATCCGCGCGACAAACTCATTGGCTAAAGGAGGAACTTCGATGATTGGTCCACTCAGACAACCTGATTGGCCGGATTCATCCACTGTCCGTTTGGGATGGTAGACGTTTTCTAACATCTGGATCATTCCATCTCAGAAGCGTACCTAACCGTGGAGGGAGATTACCTCAGTAACAGGCCCTAGCGTGGACCCCGAAATCCCTAATTACCTGGGCCTGCCGTCTAATAGCGCCCGATAAACACTGAGCCACGGAAAGGTGCCCTGACTTAAGGCAAAACGCGTTTTACGTTTGAAACAGCTGCACCTCGGGGGCTATTTCCCGACTGACACACCCCCCGTCACTGTGTGGCCTTTCATCCGTCACAATAAATACACGTTTCACTTGTTTCCACAGTTTTCTTAAGCGCTAACGCTATCACCATGGGAAGGACTAATTCCAGTCAGGGTTAGCAGCTTTTTTGTGAAACAGTGGATGGCCCTGAAAAGAGCCTTTGGGTATTTCAAAGCGAGAGTTGCGTCGTCTTTACTGTGGTTTCACTTGCCCTTGGCCTTGTGGTGGCTCTCGGTCTTCTTGGGCAGCAGCACGGCCTGGATGTTGGGCAGCACGCCGCCCTGCGCGATGGTGACGCGGCCCAGCAGCTTGTTGAGCTCCTCGTCGTTGCGGATGGCCAGCTGCAGGTGGCGCGGGATGATGCGCGTCTTCTTGTTGTCGCGCGCCGCGTTGCCCGCCAGCTCCAGGATCTCGGCCGTCAGGTACTCGAGCACGGCCGCCAGGTACACCGGGGCGCCGGCGCCCACGCGTTCCGAGTAGTTGCCCTTGCGCAGCAGGCGGTGCACGCGACCCACGGGGAACTGGAGCCCGGCCCGGGAGGAGCGGGTCTTGGCCTTGGCGCGCGCCTTGCCGCCTTGCTTGCCACGCCCAGACATGGTACAGCCAAACACGCTTCGCAATCTGAAGTAAAGAAAACCATACCCGCCAAGACTGTGCTTTTATAAGCAGCGCAGGGCTACTACAGTACGTCATCCTATTGGTCGAAATAGGTTCGCCTTTTCTGCCCAATAGGAAAAGACAACCCGGATACCTTATTTGCATAAACAACCCCCCTAGAGAAAATTTCTTTGTTGTCCAATCAGAAGTGAGAAGTCTCAAACCCTCATTTGAATTACGGGACTATAAATATATGCACTCCGGCCTGTCATCACTAATCAGCTGTAGACTGAGTCTGTTTTAGTCTCTCAGCCAATATTAAAAGCAATGCCTGAACCCTCCAAATCCGCTCCCGCCCCCAAAAAGGGCTCCAAGAAGGCGATAACAAAGGCGCAGAAGAAGGATGGCAAGAAGCGCAAGCGCAGTCGCAAGGAGAGTTACTCCATCTACGTGTACAAGGTGCTCAAGCAGGTGCACCCCGACACCGGCATCTCGTCCAAGGCCATGGGCATCATGAACTCGTTCGTCAACGACATCTTCGAGCGCATCGCCGGCGAGGCCTCGCGCCTGGCGCACTACAACAAGCGCTCGACCATCACGTCGCGCGAGATCCAGACGGCCGTGCGCCTGCTGCTGCCTGGTGAGCTGGCCAAGCACGCCGTGTCCGAGGGCACCAAGGCTGTCACCAAGTACACCAGCTCCAAGTGAGCTCCCGAATTGGCGCCGCCGCCCCTCACCCCAAAGGCTCTTTTCAGAGCCACCAACTCTTTCACAAATAGAGCTGTGGCCGACGTCCTTGTATTTTGCTCCTGTTGAGGTGGGTTTAGGTCGGGTGTTAGGGCTGGCGTTAGTGACGACCCCAGAACGCGTGTTTATCCCGTGCAGGTCGGCGCTGAGTAACCTTAGGGCACTTTGGTCGGGGTCGGGGACTGGGGTTCGCGATGTGATGGGAGATGCGCATTTCGTGAACTCGGGTTCGCATGAGCTTTGAAGAGCCCCCTCTAACATCTCCAGCTCCTCGACAGTGAAATGGAGTGAAATTCCTGCAGTTCTCCCTGTTACCTACCTGTAGCCACTAATCACGTCGGCTAAGCAGTCCTTGAGTCTTCAGAAATCCATGGATCACCTATTGGATGGGGCGGATTTTTCTCAAGAATGGAGCCTTGATACTGGCTGGAGTCAGGATGCGATCTGAATCCCGCGCCTTTCCTGGTTCGCGGCCAGCCACTGGCTGAGGGGAGGGGCCAGGGCGCGTCGGGGCGGAGGTTGGCCAGTGCCGTGGCTTTAGAGCGACTCTGGAGTGGTTCCCAGAGGTTCGCGCGCCACTGTGACCGACACCGCCTGTCTGGGCGCGCAAAACGCTGGTGTGAAAGAGAAGCTGGCCTGGCAATCCCACCCCACAAAACCTGCAAACACCGGCCGCAGCGTCAGCAGCTGCCCTGGAGGACTGAGACACCCCCCCCCCCCCCCCCGGTATTCGTATTCTCAAAATGCCTCATCTCTGATAACTTTTTTTTAAGATTTATTTACTTGAGAAGCCAGGAGCTTCTTCCGGGTCTCCCACACAGGTGCAGGAGCCCAAGGACTTGGGCCATCTTCTGCTCTCCCAGGTCATAGCAGAGAGCTGGATCTGAAGAGGAGCAGTTGGGATTCAAACCATTGACTTTATGGGGTGCAGGCACTGCAGGTGGTGGCTCTAGTTGCTAATCATAATGCTGGCCCAGAAAATATTCCAACGTATGCCCATAGGGAATGCAGGTGCTGCAGGCTGCAGCTTTAACTCGCTGTACCACAGCACCGGCCCCTCTATTATCTTCTTAAATTAATAGGGATTCCAATGATCATACTGATGAATGCATTTCATTGTAGAGAATTAGGTAATTGCTCCCTTTTGCATCAACCTTCCTTTTTTAAAAATTCTAAGCCATGATAACAGGAACATATTCTTGACACTTTACACACTGAAGAGATTGCTTTAGGGAAAATATAGAAGTGAGATTCATGGACAGTGACATGTCATTATTTTGTTTCTTAACACATGTACCTGGTACCAATTTGCTTATTAATATTCCCCATATCAATAAGCTTTTTGGGCTCTTGCCATGAATTCAGAGAATTCTGAATATTGGCTCAAATAGACTAGACGACATGGTAAATTTTTATAAGCTTTTTATTCAGTGAGAGAAATGCATAGAAGAGTGAGGGCTCTAAGAGAGAAAGGGAAATCCAGATCCACGCCGAGAGCAGGCCGGGAGCCACGTGCAGCAAGCGTTTGGTTATGAGCAGCTACAGGCAGCTTAGCATGGGCAGCAACGCGAAGGCAGAGAGCTCAGGTGGCCGGAAGGCCAGGTGCCAGGAAGGCGAGGGGCAACAGGGACAAAGAGGGTCTGTAAAAGTGTGAAAGGGAAACAAAGGGCCAGGCCCACCGTGTTGCAGGCCTTTAATCCACTTCCAAAGGGGGGTAGCTAATTAGTCTGATTTGCAGGTGGGCTTACAGGTGTGGGCAGGTAGCAGCAGGGGCACACACAGGGGCGTGGTGAAGGCGTGGTCTCCCAGCTCACAAATCTCATCGATTTTATCCTGTCTGTCAACATCCGTTTGCAAGTCGCCTTCTTCAAAGGCTGTTAACATCCTCAGCAACCTGATATTTTGCCAACTTCCTAAAGTATTTTTGATTGAAGGTTTAAAAGATGGACAACACCCAACAAACTGGAGAAGTGAGCAATGAGATTTGGTTGTTTCACTGGTAAATTTGTGAGAAGGACTTCCATTTTAATCCACTTGGCCTGTCTCCTTTTAATTGTATTCAGGCCATGTACAGGTAAAGTAATCATTGATCTCGTGGGCTTAAGAATGTGAGGGCTGGAAACTTGCCACATTAGCTTGAGGACTATTTTGAGTTGGCAACAACTGAGAGGCAGCAGGCACAAGACAAGTTCTCTGCCTTCCCCTATTTGCTGAAATGCTGCACGTAAATTTGCAAAGGTTTTCTCCCCTCCCCCCACAATCATCAGACAGACTTTTAAACTCTTAACTTGGAAAATGCCCCAGAGGGATCTAGGTTACAAAATATACTAATTAATCTTTGTCTATCATTAGTTTCCCACACATTTAATGCCCCCCCTTTTTTTCTTTTTTTAAAGGTTATTTTATTTGAATGGCAGAATTACAGAGAGGCAGAAGCAGAGAGTAAGAGAGGTCTTCCTCTGGTTTACTTCCCAGATGGCTTTGCAATGGCCATTCTGAAACCAGGATCTTCCACCAGATCTCCCATGAGGGTGCAGTAGCTCAAGCACCTGGGCCATCTTCCACTGCTTTCCCAGGCCAGAGCAGAGAGCTGGATCAGAAGTGGAGCAGCTAGGTCTCGAACGAGCACCCATATGGGATGCTGGCGCTTCAGGCCTCTGAGCCATAGCACCGGCCCCAACCTATATCTTTCAGTGATGTCAACTGTCTTGCTTTTGCTGTTTCTGGAGCTGGAGTTGTTATTGGGAAGTAACTACTTCCTTTCCTATTTGTTTGGGATAATTACCTCCCAGTATCTGTTTCTCACATTTGCCTTCCACATCTTTTTCAAAAGCACATGCTGTGAACTCGCTGTCAATGAGGCGCCTCAATGGGATGCCTGAGGCTGCCAAGTGCTTGCCCACTCCAGGTGACCTGGGTCAGTGGACGGCTTTTTCTTACCCACGACTCTGTGGAGTAGAGAGTCCAGAGGCTATGCCCGGAGAGACCCCTGCTTCAGCCCTTCCCCTTAGCGTTTGCTTCAGCTAGTCCTGTGTCTGAGCACTGCTCTATGAGAGCGTCTACAATTTCTCCAGAAAATCAAAATCGCTGTCCCTTCTGACTTTCTCCCTGAATGATCCCCTGTTTGAATACATCAGGCCCGCGGCTCAAGTGTTCAGTCTTCCTACAGAGCTGGCTTCCTCACCTTGTGCAGGCCTGAACCCAGGTGACATTCTCCTGGGGACACTGTCCCTCCCTCCCCACTTTCCTCTCAACTATCACTTTCCCTCGCTAAATTCTTCTCCATAGCACTTATCACCAAAAACACGTATACTGAATATTTTTATGTTGTTACCTCATTGTGTGCCTTCCCCAAGAAGAAAAGTAGCGTCTCGAGGATACAAGTCTTTGTCTGCTTAGTTCACCATTCTGTGCTCCTACAGCACTGACAATTAGCAGGTGCTTGGTAAATATATGTTGAATAAATGTTGGACGCACATCTGCCTCGTGAACTCTCCTGATCCTTCTAATTTACATGGACTAATCTTCCCCTTCACGCTCCCTGATGTTAGTTATTGCTCAAAACCTCCAGCACTGCTATGGAATCATCAGGCACGCAAGTTCACCCTTCTCAAAGAGATTATGAATTCTTTGGAGCAGCATTTGTGATACTGTTTTACATCTCCGCCTTAGGTTTTGCAGCTTTTCCAACAGTGAGCCAGTGATTACTGATGTATTTTGCTGTCATAGATGGTGAAAATGCTCACTGAAAAAATAAGGAAACTTGAATACTAAGAGAAAAAGTCATAGACGTCAGAAGACTGGAGAGAAGACAAAGGAAAAAAAAAAAAGAAGAAATGAGCACTTTCACTCTCTTGCTAGTTTCTCTGGATCAAATCACAGATCAAAAAGGTTCATTTGGGAGTAGATCATATTTTAACACCTGGGCTGTTGTTTCTTCTACAACCCCATTTGTGTACAAAGTAAACTTTCAGTTTGAGCCCTCAGAAATTCTTGAAAAAATTATCCACGTCCATCTATGCCCTATTGCTTCTATGTTAAGGGTCATAAAAAAGATTAGCAATAAGATTTCTCTTGCTAATCTCTCTTTTTAAAGATTTACTCATTTGAAATAAACACTGACAGGGAAAGACAGAGGTCTTCCATGTACTAGTTCACTGCCCGAATGCTTACAACAGCTTGACTGGGCTAGGCTGAAGCCAGGAGCCTGGAACTCCATCCAGGTCTTGAACATGGGTTTCAAGGGCCCACGTAGCTGGACTACCTTCCGCTACTTTCCCAGGCCTCATAGCAGGGAGCTGGATCAGAAGCAGCGCAGCCACATGTGATATGGGATGATGGAGTTTCAAGCCACAGCTTAATCCGCTCTACCACCAAGCTGGCCCCTCCTGCCAATCAACATGAGCAATTAAGACCAGGAAATTGTCAGGTAGAGAGCTAGGCAGGATGAACCCAAAGACTCATCCAGGACTCTCCAAGACCCACCAAAGACTGCCCACTTTGCACTTTAACTGGAGGTTGAAATATCCTCATAATAATGGGAGCTCAAAGTAGAAAAGTCTAGTTTGCAGCCACATGCACGGAGTCCAATGACATGCAACTCCCAGATGTCCATCACACATGTCAATCATGAGCATCATGGCCACATCACTACTTAATGTCCCTTATACTTTAGGAATAAAAGTCCCAAACAAAAGAAAGTGTCCCATGTGTTCTTGCTACTGGTCCCTTCCTCTCTTGGAATGCATGTCAACACAATTTGCTTTAAGTTCTCCTTTAATTTCTCTGAACTACAATTTATTACTGTGTCAGCGAAAAGCAATGAGGGCAAGGCAGCAGAAACTTTCTTTGAGCTTCTCATCCTGAGGACAGGGCCTCCAACAGACACTCATTGTCCTCAGTCCGCTTCCCCTGCATCTCAGCAAGCAGGAGCGATCAATGCAGGAGAAGAGACAAACTCCACACCCAGACTTCCCAGAGGCTCTCCCCGATTTTCCAAAGGCCTGTTTGTTCACTTTTCCCAGAAATCATCTTCTATTCTCCAAACCTTTAGGTCACCCTCTAGCCTGTCTCCTATAAAGAACTCCAAGATTTCAGGAGGTTATTTGATACCTACTTTCCCTTCCTGTGATGACCCCTCTGTCCACCCCCACCCCCTCCCCCACCGCCACAGCACTGATAAATTTGACCTGCCTGCTGTCAGTTTATTTCATAGACTTAGTTACCAAGGGTACAGGTGAAATGGAAGATTTGCTGTCCTAGATCAGAAGATAATCATCGAGTCCTTGCCCCCAGTTTTAATTGTTCAGGTAATTAAAGAAGAATTAAACCACAATAAATAATTCTTTGTACCACTTTCTTTTTCGTTGTGATGTTGAGAGTTAAAACAAAACGTAGCCCAGAAATTTCTTTCCAATCACTTATTTAGAAATGGTTGTGAATTTGTTCCTTTCCAAAACCATAAATGACAATCTCCCCCCCCCAAAAAAAAGGACCAATGTGATATCGGAATTTGGGGTGTTATATATCACCGTGTGCTTATTAATAACTTCCCAATATTAATAAGCCCGTGTGGGTTCTTGCCTAATATTCAGAAAATAATTCTGAATACCGGCATAAACGATGAGGCAGCATGATACGTTTTAAGCTTTTAATCAGTGAGAGAAATGCAGAGGAGAGTGAGGGCCCTAAGAGAGAGAAATCCGGGCTCATAGCGAGCACCAGGAGCCAGCCACGTGGAGGAACAGGCAGGTCAGGAAGCAGGCAGGTGGCCCAAAGGCCAGGCGACTTGGGGCGCAGGGGCAGCAAGGGCCGGCAATGGCAAAAGGCCAGAGAGAAGGATAAGGCCAGACACACACTGTTGACAGCTTTTGATCCACTTCCAAAGCTTAGTGGTTAATTAACCTGATTGGCCTGTGGGCACACAGGTGTGGCTGGGTAGGGGCATGAGATCATGCAGTGGTGAAGGCGGGGTCGTCCAGCTCACAGACCTGATCAGTTTTATCCTGTATTCCTGCCTACATCAGCTTTTGTTACCAAAAGCTCAGTGGTTTAGCCTTGCAGCATAACAAGATGTTCTCATGAGTGGCCTGCAAAACACCATTTCACGGGAATTTCTAAGAACAAATCTATACTGCAAACCTTTTTTTTTTTTTTAAGGACTTTTAAAATTTTGAATGTCAGAATTAGAGATAGAGGTAGAGACAGGGAGAAAGAGATTTCCATTGGCTGGTTTATTACTCAGATGACTACAATGGCCAGGGCTGGGCCAGGTCGAAGTCCGGAGCCAGAAGCTTCATCCAGGTCTCCCAAATGAGGGCATGAGTCAAAGCACCTGGGTCATCTTCCACTGCTTTTCCCAGGTCATTAGCAGGGAGCTGGATCAGAAGTGGAGCAGCCAGGATAGGAACCAGCGCCTATGTGGGACGCGGGTATTGCAGGTGAGGATTATACCTGCTGTGCCACAGGGTCGGCCCCAGACTTTTCAACTTTACATTTAATCACAAGAACTATCGCCCTTGATTCTATTAAAATCTTGCTTGTATTCTTCTATATCGGCTTATATAATCAAAACTCAAAACAATGAGGACAAACATCCCCGCTTCTTGTTTAATAATGGCATTTTGAGAAAAAGAATTGATTCAATAATTACTTGTAAAACACAATAAAAGATTATGAAGCTGGATCAGTGATTGGCTCTAACATAAAGCTCACACGGGATGAAAGCGGTGCATGCAAATGAAGGATGCAAATTCTCGTTTCTCATTGGGTATCTGATCTTAGCCAATGGGAGAATCCCATACAGGCTCCCTCCGGCAAGTATAAATACTGCTCCTGCCGTTCTCAGATCTGTTGCTCCTCTAGGTTTTGCTCCTGCTTTGGTCTGAAGTTGTGATCTCAAGCGATGTCTGGACGTGGCAAGCAGGGCGGCAAGGCGCGCGCCAAGGCCAAGACCCGCTCCTCCCGGGCCGGGCTCCAGTTCCCCGTGGGCCGCGTGCACCGCCTGCTGCGCAAAGGCAACTACGCCGAGCGCGTGGGCGCCGGCGCGCCCGTGTACCTGGCGGCCGTGCTCGAGTACCTGACGGCCGAGATCCTGGAGCTGGCGGGCAACGCGGCGCGCGACAACAAGAAGACGCGCATCATCCCGCGCCACCTGCAGCTGGCCATCCGCAACGACGAGGAGCTCAACAAGCTGCTGGGCCGCGTCACCATCGCGCAGGGCGGCGTGCTGCCCAACATCCAGGCCGTGCTGCTGCCCAAGAAGACCGAGAGCCACCACAAGGCCAAGGGCAAGTGAAGTGTCCGTTGCACGGCTCCCGCTTTTCTGATCAACCTAACCACAAAGGCTCTTTTCAGAGCCACCCACAGCTTTCATGAAAACTGCTGTCCTGTTCGCGCTGTGTTCTCAGTAGCAGACACAGCGGTGTTGGTATCGGGTCTTTGCCCCGTGAGGATTCGCGAGTTTTCTGTGGAGGATCCAAGCCGCGCCCTTCAAGCGCCCCTTCAGCCATGGCTTTGGAGTTTTATCTAAGGCCACAATTTCACAACCTCAGAACGGTGTAATCGTGAACTCCGTTTCACAAAAAATAAATCTATATATATGTACACACATGATTAAGAACACTTAAACAGTTTCTTAGAGAGTTCCCATATTTGCATTTCTTTAGCGCGTTTTCGTACTTGCCCACAATACTCAGGCACTGCCTAAAATGATAATCAGTAGTATTCAGCACTCTACCTTTATATAATGCCCATAAGCTACCACATTTGTATAATCAGATGTGTCCTGTAGATTTTTCAGGCAACGTCTACGGATAGGAAAGGGTAAAGGATGTGACGTCAAATGCCGTGCGCCCCCGGGGGCGGGAGGGGGCGGGACTATGGCTCAGGGCAGGGCAGTGGATTGGTTCACCAACGTGAAGGCTCCGGAAACCGGGGAACTAGACAAGCAGATGGACCAATCCAGGATGGGCGCGCTCATGAATTTGAATGTACGCGGCCCAATACTAGCTAGCCAGATTCTATAAAAGAGAGATGGCCGCTCATTTTCCTCAGAGGTTTCTGTGAGGACGCTGTGTGCTGGTTCTGGTGATGGCTCGCACGAAGCAGACAGCGCGCAAGTCAACAGGCGGCAAGGCGCCGCGCAAGCAGCTGGCCACCAAGGCGGCCCGCAAGAGCGCGCCGGCCACGGGCGGCGTCAAGAAGCCGCACCGCTACCGGCCCGGCACGGTGGCGCTGCGCGAGATCCGGCGCTACCAGAAGTCCACCGAGCTGCTCATCCGCAAGCTGCCGTTCCAGCGCCTGGTGCGCGAGATCGCGCAGGACTTCAAGACGGACCTGCGCTTCCAGAGCTCGGCCGTCATGGCGCTGCAGGAGGCCTGCGAGGCCTACCTCGTCGGCCTCTTCGAGGACACCAACCTCTGCGCCATCCACGCCAAGCGCGTCACCATCATGCCCAAAGACATCCAGCTCGCGCGCCGCATCCGCGGGGAGCGGGCCTAAGAACCCGGCCGTGTGCTCAAGCAAAACCCAAAGGCTCTTTTCAGAGCCACCCAATTAGCCAAGGAAAGCGGCTGTGATAGTTTGCTCGTTAAGCAGATAAACCTTGAATAGGAAGAGCATGCCCTGTAGGACCCGGGCGAATAGTAAACTAGGAATTCTGTGGTTACATTTTCTGTTAGCAATCGTAGAGTAATAGCAAGCCTTAAGGGGCAACTTGATTTTTAGCTGGGTTAGTGCTCGGGAAAGGTTAAAGACGGCGACGTGGCACCTGCACTGTGGTGAAGCGGGAAAGGTCTCTGCCTGAACCGCCGGCTTCCCATAGGGGCACCAGTTCAATCCAGCTCTGCCATGGCCTGGGAGAGCGGTGCAGGGTGGGCCAGGTCTTTGGGACCCTGCACCCACGTGGGAGACCTGGAGCAGGCTCCTGTCTCCTGGCTTCGGATCGGCGCAGCTTCGGCAATTGCAGCCAACTGGACATGGAAGTTTTTTCTCTGCCTCTCTCTGTAGCTGACTTTAAAAGAAATAAATTTAAAGTTTTAGCCCAGTAACTTCATTCACTTGGAAGTGTGCACGAAATAATGTGCCAGGTGCTCATTAATTTCTAAGAGCCCTTACGGCTTTCTCAATGCATTACGTGTTGATATTTGTGTGTGGTCCAGTTGTAAATTTGGTTGAATTGCTGTTGTCTTCTAGGACTGTACCTGTAGAATTTTTTGGAATTTCAATTTAGATTTTGTTACCATTTTCCTTTTGTTGCTTTTGTTTTCTCCGTTGAGGACTGAGTGCTGGTGGAAGTTGATTCGTATGGAATAGCGTATAAAGAGAAAAATATATTGGAATAAAATTCTCCTTTTTCAGCGAACTGCCTTTGTGGTAAGGCTTCTATGCCATGTACTGCAAGTTAACTTTAGAACAACTACACGGAGTGCTGAAGGTCATTGTGCCCACTAATGCCAGTGTCCTGCTTCACATCTCTTTTCCACATTTGATTCCTCGCAAGACCATTCTCTCTGCCTACATATGAAATGTGATCTAATTGGAAAACTTCAATAAGGAAACCACACACACTCTATAGAGTAAGTTGTGCTCATGGTTTTGTGTGTACTCTGGATTTTAATAGAATTCCTAGATTTACACAATAATTTTTGAACTTTTATAAAAATGAAAATGGATTTCTTTCCTGTGCGTGCATGTTTTGTACATCATTTGTTTTTAGACTGGTGAGAGCAACTCTGCCTGACACTGACATTTGTTGCTCAGAGATGGGGTCTATTGTAGGCACTTGTCCTGTAGAATGAGAATCAAAATGGAGTGAGTGTGGCTAAAAGCCAATTGCAGACCCTCTTGCTTCTGCACATATTAGCTTTGCTTGCTAATGGCTAAGGGTGGATCTTGCGAAACTATGTGGGCCCAAATTCCCAGGAACCAGGTTGACCGAAATGTGTCCTCCACTGTTATCTTACCACCATAGCTTGGATCTGTTACTGGGTTTGTTATTATTTAACTGTTCTCTTACAACCATATTCTGAGTTTCTTTTTTTGGTCACTGCATACCAAGGGTTCGAAATTGTGAGCCCTAGTGGATAGAATACTATAAGAAGTTGTGTAACACACCATTGGGGGCCGCACTTTGGTAAGCATTGTTGGTCCCGATCCGTTGCCGGTCCTGAGCAGTTGCCTTGCCTCTCATTTTCAATAAAATTCATGTGTGACTGTCACTGGTTTTTGTAATATTCTATTTTAGCTGACGAGTGAATGCAACAGGCCTATCCCTTGGTCTTTGCCATCCAGCTCTAGACCCTCCCTGAAGGTCAAGTATTTTTGTTTTTCTAATTATAGCAGTGCTGGCTTTCATAAGGTGTTGCTTTTCTCTTTATATTTTTTCTGTAGGAGTAAAGTGTTTTGGGTACAGGCTGTGATGAGACAACATTGAAAAAGTAAAAGAGTTTACGGTTTGAGGGTCACATGGACAGGTCAGTGGTTCTGCATGACTCTACAAGGCCCCTACAGCAACAGGGGCAGAACATGGATTCTGCTTTCAGTCTTTGTTTACTTGAGGCCTTTGACAAAACTACCCAATGTGGGAAAAGAAAAGAATAGCACTATCTTAGAGTTCATGACACTTAACCTCACCATAGTAAGACTGGCAGCTTGTAGTACAGATGAGTTCCTGGAGGCCAGCTTGCTTGGGTTCAGATTCCAGCCTTATTCTCAAAACTCTGTCATCTGAGAGAAATGCATTCCTCCATTATCAGAAAAATGGGAGTAACGTGACGTCCATTATATGGTTGTTACTTTTCCTAGATAGACAGCATCAAAACGATGCTAATGTTTCTGAACTGTGTATCATTTACCCTGATGGTGTCAAACTTTTCAATATCGAGCTATTCCTAAACACTTGGCATTATTTAGCTCTATACATTCTGTTCAGGTTAGGAATTTAATTTCAGCAGCATTTAAAAAATCAGAATAGAAGAAATTCACATTGTAAAAGACAACTTGCTGAGCATTTTGCACTGGGGAGCAATGCAGGCATTTAGATTTCACTGCAGTATACATCTGTTAGTGTCTTCGGGGCTGATTACAGAGGTACTGGAGGAAAAGGAAGCTCTCAGTGTTGACCATGTCATTCTGTAGCACGCCATTGTGGCAATAGGGTGATTTTGAGCTAAAGATGTTCAGAAATAGCAGAGGCATGAAGTCCATTCTGATGTTCCCTTTTCTTTCTGAAAAAAAAAAAAAAAAAATCCCCATGTGAAAGATGCTCTCCTTGAACCAGGAAACAATGATCTTTCTCAGGAGGGAGGAATAGGGAAGAGAATTCTGTACAAATGCAGAAGGAGGTCCAAACCCAGACACTGCCACACAAACAGACCTCGTGAAAATAAATGTTTTGTTCCTTGGGTCTTCCTTGCATAATTTAGTTACTCTCCTGCAATTCCCTCTTTTCAATTTAATATAAAAGATTTTCACTTTTGCCCTTTTTGCAGGGGGTGGGGGGAGTTCATTTCTTTAAGAGAGATCCCTCATCCCTTGAAACTGTATTAAGGTTGTCTGCTTCTGTACTATCTTCTGCCTTATGCCAAATTAATTCTCAGGTCAAACGAGAGACCCTAACAGGGTAGAAATAAAGTTTTGCCTCCCTATAATTGTAGTTTGTTGAAAGGCATTCAATTAAATATATTTCTGCTTAGGTACCACAGATAACAACACTGGCTGAAGTTTAGAGCAAACTAAACTAGAAATGCTTTTGGTTAGAGAGACTTAGTGGAAAGATCAGAATTCTTAGCGAAGAGGAAGAATGACTTACAGGTTCAGTAGTAGCCTCTCTAGTTTTTCCAGAGGTGACGCTGAGTGAGTGTTTTAGGGAGACTTACCAACATGGAGGTGAGTCTGTAGGGAGGTTTGGACATCTCAACCGCACCCAAGGCTTGCTGAGGGATGTGATTGCCAACGCACCTTGAGAAAGGTTAAAAAAAAAAACCTGACAATCATTTCTAATATGTCATATATTTAAAAAAAAATCTCAACATCTTGCATTTTATGACACTGTAATTTCAACCAAAACAGCCCTCACCAGTAGACCTTTCGATTCCACGTATTTAAAGTAGTAGCTAAAAATAAACTATCTTTATATAGTTCTTTCTTGCCATAAGCCCGATTTTACATTCGAGAAAAGGCAAGTAAGGTTGCAAGGCCACATAGCTAACAATTCCCTTTTGCGTCCACATTTGCCAGAGTGGCATTTTTTAATCGTTCAAGTGCTATTGCTGTTAAAATACGTCTTCACTGAAATTCTCAAAGATCAGTTTCCGAGGTAAACAGTGTAACAGGCACGGGCGAAAAAACCAGCTTTTACAAAGCGAAACTGAGGACCGCGCCCCGCCACGAGGCGCCCAGGTCTCGGCCCGGAGAGGGGCGGGGCGGAGGGAGGCCCCGCCTTCCGTTCTCAACGCGGTCCGAGAGCAGCCTATAACTGCGAGGGTCGGACCCCAGCCCCGTGCAGTCCCTCGCTGACTGAAACCCAGAGATGTCTGGCCGCGGCAAGGGCGGGAAGGGCCTGGGCAAGGGCGGCGCCAAGCGCCACCGCAAGGTGCTGCGCGACAACATCCAGGGCATCACCAAGCCCGCCATCCGCCGCCTGGCCCGGCGCGGCGGCGTCAAGCGCATCTCGGGGCTCATCTACGAGGAGACCCGCGGCGTGCTCAAGGTCTTCCTCGAGAACGTCATCCGCGACGCCGTCACCTACACGGAGCACGCCAAGCGCAAGACGGTCACGGCCATGGACGTGGTCTACGCGCTCAAGCGCCAGGGACGCACGCTCTACGGCTTCGGCGGCTGAGCTGCCTGCCCCGGCGGCCCCAGACCCTCGTCCAAAGGCCCTTCTCAGGGCCACCCACTTCTCTCTGGGAAGAGCAGTGCCATTGTCGGTAGGGGTTGTGAGTCTGCTCATTCAGGGGTTGGACGTGCGTTTTACGGTGGCAGACGGCAAGGGTTAGCGTAGGGAGGGCAATTTCCATCCACGCAGGTTCTGGGGCTCAGATGGCCGCCTGCGTGGCCCTGGGCGCACTGGTTGGGCCTTCTTACCTGGGGAGGTCGCTCAGACGCTGTCTGCTATATTCACGGTGAGGGCACCCCAGGGAAGAGCTGCCTCGAGCTCTTTTTCCCTTAGCTCGGTGTGTACAAACTTTAAAATGTTGGCAGCGCTTCGTGTATTCCCGTGGCATCTGGCTTCAGCAGTGTTGGGAAGATAAGCTCCTTTTTCCCTTTTCTCTTCAGCTTCCTTTTTACCAAGTGTGATGCGGCCAGAGGTCATCCAGAGTAACTACTTGGAGTTGCTGAATGCCTTCAGGTGGCACAGACCCTTGAGATGATTGAGCTAGGTTTGCAGGTTGCCACCTGTTACACCAGTGGGTTCTGTGATTTCCTCTAATCCCGAGGCCCCTGGCATGGCACAAACGTGGGGAAACAGAAAACTCGCTTTATTCAGGTGATTCTTGGGCAGTGCATTTTGGCTGTCCCTGGTCTTTGCTTATTCTTCCTTTTCCTCGCCTTCCTCTAAGCTTGAAGTTTGGTTGATCTTTAGGTTATGAAAATTTAATAGTACAAAAGCACAAACAGTTTTCAGAAGGTGCCCCAAATAAGGAATTGTCCAACTGAATATTAAGCAACTTTAGTTTACCATTTGATGAATGCATTGATGGCTGCTTCAACAGTAAAACCGCTTTGTCACCTGCGTTGCCCACACTGCTCTCTGACCCTGGGGGAGAGAATTGAATAGGGAGCCAAGATTCCCGAGTTCAGGTGAGGGTCTGCGCTGGGCATGGTAGCAGTGATAGCCCACCATGTCCATGATTTTGAGCAGTCAGGGGAATTCCAACAACTGTGGATCCAGAATTGGGGGAAAATTGGGTCTGTAGTGAACACATGTATTTTTTTCTTGTGATCATTCCTTAAACATAGTGTATCAGCAATTGACGTGGCATTGCCATTTGTAATTGTAATGGACAAATGACTTTAAAAATAGAGGATATGCATGGGTTATATGTAAATATTACACCATTTAAAATAAGGAAGCTTGGATTCTGCAGATTTGGGTATTTATGGAGGTCCTGAAATCAGCCCCCTCCCCCCCCCCCCCGGCCCCCAAGCTTTTAGAGGAATGGCTTTAAGTGCTGAAACAGATTTTGCCAAGAGTTTACACAGAATTCAGTGTGGTGGAAACAATGTCATTTTATCAAGTGCAACTGGCTGAAGTATAATCTTGAAGCCAAGGCCTATCCCTAATGTCTGTGATGCAGACCTTTGTTAGGTTCCATAATGTGTTTATATTCCTGTGTTTTCCCTTTGATGATGCCAAGTCAGTGCCTTGCTAAAAATTAACTCATTAAATTAAAGAGAGTGGTCCAAGGATAAGGGCAGAGCCACTCTCTGAATCAAAGACAGATCAGCTTGTAGGCAGTATCTCAATACCAGCTTCTATTCAGAGTTTCCCGGAAACTAGAAGGCCTTGATAAAAGTAATATCCAATCCACGCACACAACCTAGACACTCAGAACCCACGGGTGCCGTTACAAAAGAAACTAGTTGGTCCCTGTCACTGATCAAGCAAAAGGAGACTAGGAACACTATGGACCACCCAGAGGCCCACAAGACACCCCCCTACTTTATGAAATTCACCACCTTTAATTCCTCAGGGTATCTGGGAATTGAACATGGCTCTGCTCATTGGAAAAGAAACTTTCTTCCTACACCCGGGTGTTAGTTATTGGGTTGCTGTGTGTCAGCCAAGCAGACCTACTGTACAATTTCTGTAATCACGTTTGTGGGTGTTCTAAAAAAATCTATATCCACAAAGCAGAAACTTACACAGACCTACTAAAGAATGAGAAGGCTTACTTCAGTATGTACTGGGGGATACTTTGGCTCCATCAATCCTTGGTCCTCCTCTGGTTTTTTCTTTCTGAGCTCATCCAGCTCAGCTTACCACGTGCAGGAGCTCAAGAGAACACCCTGACTGCCCTAAGTGCCACATGGGCTTCCAGCAACGCCAAAGCCCATCCCAGTGGGAGCTTCCAGCTGCTTCTCCTTCACCTGGTTGCTTTCTTGGAAGTATCCTTAACTCTCCAAATGCTATCAGTTTCCTTCCACTCACAAAGAAACATGTAAGAAAAACACTGCTTACCACAAGTCATCCCCTTGACCATCTCCAGACCCAATCAATATCCTGACACATAAACATCAGATCATTCAGCATTCTCCACCTCAGTGAGGGGAACCCCATTCTTCCAGTGGGCTGCAGATAGGAAACTAACAGCTCTGTTCAACCAAACTTTCATCTAATCCGGAAAGCTCTGGGATCAAAATCACACCACCTTTCCATGTTGGCGAGGCCAAGGCAACTTCGGCTGGCTGACAAGGTCACAGCACGTCTGTCTCAGCAAGGCGTGAGGACAACTTTGGTCCTCTTGGTGGTTTCAGGTTTGTTGGGAACTACGCTCTGCAACTGTCTGTGATAGTAACCCATGCTCTGAACACGCCTTTTTTTTTTTTTTTTTAAGATTTTATTTTTTTTATTTGAGAGGTAGAGTTACAGTGAGAGGGAGAGACAGAAAGGTCTTCCTTCCACTGGTTCACTTCCCAAATGGCCACAATGGCTGCAGCTGCGCCAATCTGAAGCCAGGAGCCAGGAGCTTCTTCCTGTCTCCACATGGGGGCCATCTTCTACTGCTTTCCCAGGCCACAGCAGAGCGGGATTGGAAGAGGAGCAGCCAGGACTAGAACCAGTGCCCAAATGGAATGTCGGCGCTTCAGGCAGATTAACCTACTGCACCACGGCGCCAGCCCCCTGAACATGCCTTTGGAAATCATTGTCTTGCACCTGTGATTGTAACCCATGCTCTAAGCGTTTGTAAATAAAAAATTGTCACTGGATAAAAGTGGACAACAGACTTGTTATTATAAGAACCATTATGTGATTTATGATACAAAGTCTGGTGCTCGAGAGCCAGAGCCACGCCATCAGCCTTGCTGTGAGTGTGTCTCAGTTCTTCCTGTGCGACACTTCTCACACCTTGGGGCCCCTGGACCGGCTGGAGCTGGTCTCGGCACCCTGTTTCTGCTGCTTCAGGACAAGCCGCCATTATCCCTCTACCTGAGCACGGTGACCCCTAGCTATTGTCTTTCTGCTACCTCGGGTCTCATCTACCACGTTTCTTTCTCTTCACTGATCCTGGTGTTTCTGGAATGAATCAAGCCTTGCCAGCATCAGAGCCATGGCCATAGAAATGTCTTATCCTGGATAGCTAAGGCTTTAGACATCCTTTCATTCCGACCTCTGATCAACCACCCTTGCAAGACTTCCCTGGATAACCCTTATATGCTATCTTCAACAATACATTTTAAAGATTTCCTTAGGTTCTGTACAGCGGGGGATGTTGCTTTATTACCCCTGAATTATGCTTAGCACCTAAAATTGGACCGACATCCAACAGATGGTCTATGAAGCTGAAAACATGGATTCCTAATGAAGTTCCCACATCCCAGCGGGCCCAGGAGACCGCGGCCACAGTGGCCGCTTTCCTATCGGCTACGCCTCAATGACCATCTGCTACTCAGTTCTTATTGGCCAACAGAAGCAGGGATGGCCGAAGGTAGTGCTCGTCCCTTGCTGATCACGGCTCCTCGGTGCCCGACGCTTTCGCTGTCTCATTGCTCTCCGACCCCTAGCAAGTACATGGCGTTCTTCCTAGTGAGGTTAATGGGCTGACACTTGGTTATGTACGGATCTTCCAGTCGCAGGTCCGCTCCCCGCCGGAAAGGGAGAGCAGACCACGAGGAAGCAAGGATGCGGAAGGGGCCTAATCGCTTCGCTCGACTCCCGCTGCTTCCCTGGCGCACGAGCAGGGAGGCGGGAAGCCGAGCACCGGGAAGTAGAACCGGCGGTGGCGTCCCGGGTGGCAGCTTAACCCGCTACACTACCAGTCCCTTCACTCCCAGTCTAGGGCGCACGTCGCCTTCAGCTACTAAGTAACATCGTAACAGCTCCTTCTTTGAGAAGTTGGGTGGCCCTGAGAAGGGCCTTTGGGTGGGATCTGGGGTCGCTGGGGCAGCTCAGCCGCCGAAGCCGTAGAGCGTGCGTCCCTGGCGCTTGAGCGCGTAGACCACGTCCATGGCCGTGACCGTCTTGCGCTTGGCGTGCTCCGTGTAGGTGACGGCGTCGCGGATGACGTTCTCGAGGAAGACCTTGAGCACGCCGCGGGTCTCCTCGTAGATGAGCCCCGAGATGCGCTTGACGCCGCCGCGCCGGGCCAGGCGGCGGATGGCGGGCTTGGTGATGCCCTGGATGTTGTCGCGCAGCACCTTGCGGTGGCGCTTGGCGCCGCCCTTGCCCAGGCCCTTCCCGCCCTTGCCACGGCCAGACATAGCTTCTCAGTAGAAGAGCTCACAGCAACTGAAAGCGAGTGGCACAGCAGGGCCTTATATAGCTCTCGTCCGCGCCCCGCCCACCGCACACGGGCGGGAAACGTGACGTCACAGTCTCCTCCCCCAAGTCCCAGAGGCGAGCGCGGGAATGGGCCCGAGCCGCCCGGAGCGCGCCTTTTAACTGAGCTACGTTTTCTGTTGGAAATAGGCCATAACGGCTCCAGGTAACTTTCTTTTGGCAGGTAGAGTTACAGTGGAAGAAAACCCAGATAACATCTTAATCAGAAGACAAAAAGTAACGACACTGAGTTATGCATCCTACTAGTTTATCGCAAACCGTGTATTGCTAGCCCTGTTATTACTTGTGCTGTTTGTACCAACTGGTGCTTGGGGACCAACACTTTTTCTTGAAATGCTCTCACGCCCCATGGAGAACCTCAGTGATAGACATTTCTGTTTTATGTTAGATGCCCAAACCCGGCGGAAAGTTATTGCGCTTTGAACCTTATTGGGTCGAAGATTGGGACTAACTGGTTCACAGCCGTTTTCCTTGGCTAATTGGGTGGCTCTGAAAAGAGCCTTTGGGTTGTTTTCGACTAAGCTGGTGAGGCTTAGGCCCGCTCCCCGCGGATGCGGCGCGCGAGCTGGATGTCTTTGGGCATGATGGTGACGCGCTTGGCGTGGATGGCGCAGAGGTTGGTGTCCTCGAAGAGGCCGACGAGGTAGGCCTCGCAGGCCTCCTGCAGCGCCATGACGGCCGAGCTCTGGAAGCGCAGGTCGGTCTTGAAGTCCTGCGCGATCTCGCGCACCAGGCGCTGGAAGGGCAGCTTGCGGATGAGCAGCTCGGTGGACTTCTGGTAGCGCCGGATCTCGCGCAGCGCCACCGTGCCGGGCCGGTAGCGGTGCGGCTTCTTGACGCCGCCCGTGGCCGGCGCGCTCTTGCGGGCCGCCTTGGTGGCCAGCTGCTTGCGCGGCGCCTTGCCGCCTGTCGACTTGCGTGCCGTCTGTTTCGTGCGAGCCATCGTACAAAGACGCCACAAAAGGGGACGGAATGCGTCTAGAGGCGTCGTTGCCAGTATTTATAGTTAATAGGGTGTGCTGATTGGATGAACGAAATGCCTGCTTGTGACGCAATGCCATTTGATTGGCTTATCTTTAAGTTGTCGTGCCCTTCATTGGCTACTATGTATCCATAGCGCTCAACGGTTTTTTTTTTTTTTTTTAATTTTGCTGCTGCTTCGGCATTCAAACATTAAAAGCGAGGCTTTTTTTTACTGCCTCTCCGTGAGATGGTAATATGACGTTCCCTCCCCTGAAATGTGCTCTGCACTTCCTCTCCTCGCCCAGATATCGTCTTAAAGCTTCCAAAACGTTTCCCTAGTGGGAGAAGCGGCGGACGCAGCCTACGGACAGCCGGCGGCCAATCTGCAAGAACTCCCCCTTGCCAAGAGTTACACTGACCATTTCAAATTGAAAAGCTAACACAGCGAACGTTACCGCTTCGAACGAAAGTCCCGCGGAGCGGGTTCTGCCTTGTGATTGGTTCGCTGCGTTCTTCCTGAGTAGCCAATAGAAATGTACATCTCGCATCCCTTATTTGCATGGAGCGCTGTCTTTTTTGTTGGCAGCTACCGTTTACCACGATAGAAATGAGAAAGTATTTTAAATAAAAACTGCTGCACTAAACCAGTCCCGAGTCTAATTCCTAGTGTTCGTTACCAAGCGTTGAATATGATCAAATTCCTCGATTATACTAGAAAGGGCTTTCTAAAAGGGTTTGCCCACTAAAGAGCTTCCGGTCTTGCGTTATGACCTTCCCACTGTTCGCGCCCAAATACTTGGTCAGAAATTGCGCAGCCCATTTGGAAATACGGCGCCTTAACAACATAGGTAATAAAGGGCCGGTGCAGCCGACGAGCGCGACGCGTATCTTAGACCAACGCCGTCCATTGTTAGAAAACAGCTAAACCTGAGGTATCCTAGGCCACTGCGGACCTGTTTGAAAACCTCGCAGCGCGCGCGGGGGTGACTTCGCCGGCGCCCGAGGCGGTTACCAGAACTGCGACTGCGGGCCGCGAAGCTCCCTCTAACTGGTCCGTTGGGCTCTGGTTCGCGGCGCTGCTTGCTGACGCTGCCCTCAGATCAGCCCTGGGGACGCCCCCACTTTCTAGAGACCCCGCGGGAGCCCTGTCTCCCCTGGTGTCAGCTCCACGCCGCCGGCCGGCGCAGTTCGAACCCCACTCCTCTTATGTGACCTCGGAGGAGGGGATCGCGTTCGGCGCTGACACGGAACGTGAACCGTAGCCCGGCCGCCCGGCGTACGTGGTCAGCATGAAAGACGCCGGGCAGGCGTTACCCCGTTCTAAACACGCGTAGTTGGAGTACTGACTGTGGTGTGGGTGAACTCTGGTGCTTGGGTCCGATTCCTTTAACCGAAACACATGGAAAGCGTGCGCCGTCAGCCTGGCTCGGTGCCGCCGGGCAAGGCCAGGGCACAAGTTCCAGACCTCCGGAAACCCGAAGACCCTCGCTTTCCCCTCTCCCGCTCCGCTATTCCACACTCGACCGTCGCCAATCTGCAAGCTAGGGAGACGGACGCACGCCGACGAGGGGCTTTCTAGTAGTTTCAGGTGAAACCCCTCTTGCGTGCGCAGCCCCTCGCCCCCCCAGAGAAGCTACTCTCGGGGAGGCACAACAGCCCCGCCAAACGCCCCCTTGTCAAAACCAGTGGCTTAGGGGCAGCGGCCCCGCAGGCCCCTCGGAGGCCCGGGGAGAGGCCGCGGCGCGTAGGGGGCGCCAGGGTGCGTGGAGCGGTCGCTAACGCGCACCAATCACGGCGCAGCTCCGCCCTATAAATACGCGGTGCGCGGGCGGCTGGCGTCTCCCTGTGTTGCAGGTCTCAGTCCACTGGACTTTTAGCTGTCGCTGTTCGCCATGGCTGAGACGGCGCCGGCCGTGCAGGCTGCATCCGCTGCCCCCGAGAAGCCTGCGGCTGCCAAGAAAGCCAAGAAACCCGCCAAGGCGGGAGCCGCTGCCTCCAAGAAGAAGCCCGCGGGCCCCTCGGTGTCGGAACTCATCGTGCAGGCCGTCTCCACCTCCAGCGAACGCAGCGGGGTGTCGCTGGCCGCGCTCAAGAAGGCGCTGGCGGCCGCCGGCTACGACGTGGAGAAGAACAACAGCCGCATCAAGCTGGGCCTCAAGAGCCTGGTGAGCAAGGGCACCCTGGTGCAGACCAAGGGCACCGGCGCCTCGGGCTCCTTCAAGCTCAACAAGAAGGCGGCGGCCGGCGAGGCTAAGGCCGGTGCCGGGAAGGTGGTGGCGAAAGCCAAGCCGACGAGCGCTTCCAAGAAGCCCAAAAAGGCCGCTGGGGCTGTGGCTAAGAAGGTCGCGAAGTCTCCGAAGAAGGTGAAGAAGCCGGCGGCGGCGGCCAAAAAGCCCTCCAAGAGCCCCAAGAAGCCCAAAGTCGTCAAGGCTAAGAAAGTGGCTAAGAGCCCCGCCAAGGCCAAGGCGGTGAAGCCCAAGGCGGCCAAGGCGAAGGTGACGAAGCCGAAGACGGGTGCCAAGCCCAAGAAGGCAGCACCCAAGAAAAAGTAAAGTCCTGGTTGGAAGCTGCTTCCAGTAACCCAACGGCTCTTTTAAGAGCCACCCCACCTCTCAGTTAAAAGCTGTATACACGGTCGTCGGGTCGCAGGTTGGGTCCCCGTGCTGGCATGCACCCTTAGGAGGGTGGTATGGGGGGTTCCTGGGTCTCGGGAGGCCTCGCCAGATACACCTGAGGACACCACGGCGAGTTCAGGTGCACCAAGTTTGGGTACCTCTGCCCTCCCAATTGGCTACCTTGTTAGCACTCACCTGAGCAATCCCATACCCCAGGGCTGGTTCTGTGGTGTAGTGGGTTAAACCGGCTGGCATCCTACTCCCTGCTAATGGCCTGGGGAAGTGTCCCAGGTGCTGCCTTGGCCCATCCCAGGACCGCTGAACCAACAGGTGGGAGCTCCCCCGCCCAAGTAGTGAGCCACTTGTTACTTTTCAGCCTAAGCTCCCATGGCTCCAGAAAAAGCATCAAAGCTGCATGTTGGGTTTTTTTGTGTGATGACCCATAATGGTTTTTTTTTTTTTTTTTTAGTTTATTTCAAAGTCAGACACGGGTCTTCGCATCCGCTGGTTCACTCTCCAGGTGGCTGCAAGGGCCGGGGCTGAGCCAGGAGCTTCATCCGGGTCACCCATTAAGGGGCAGGGGCCCAAGCACTCGGACTGCTTTTCCCAGGTCTTTAACAGGTTGTAGGCTTGGTTCCAGCAGCCATGGTCAAAGCAAGACTTCGCTGTAATTGAGTCTTGGGCTTGAGGGTCAATCCTAAAACTCTATCCAGTTTCTCTTTATAGAAGTAGAAGTGTCCCGAGTGGGAAATTCTGCTCCGCCAGTTTGGATTTTATCTCATCACAGGAAAGATTTTAAGTTTTTAAATACTTAAAAGATTTTAAGTTTATATTGCCGAATATTAAGTACTGGAGATTGTATCACAAAATTGCCCTTTTGCAGTTTTAATTCTCAGATTTTAATAACGTTTTTTGTTGACAACTGAGAAAAAAAGGTCCATGAGGAACTGAGTTTATTCATTTTTACTTAATTTTTTACATATTCACTTGTAAGTTCTTTAATGATCAATTCTGCTTCTATAAGTGTTTGTCTTTATAAGTGTTTCGCATAGTTTTTGCTTAGTTCCCTCTGTCCCAGAGTCAATTCAGGCACTTTGCATTCCTGTCTCACTTCTCCCCAAAACTGAATGGGCCTGTTCAGGCTTCCTTGGAATTTAGTTTTACTTAAGTCTATACAAGTACATAGTTTTGCTTTTTGGTTTGGGTTGTTATTTAACTTTTTAATAAAATCATGGTATTCTATACTTTTTTGCATCTTATTTCTTTGAAGACTTCAAAAATCCTTTCAAGGCATCTCTGTCTTGAAAAGCTACTTCACACGGAGTAGGGTAATTTACCCACTCCTGATGGATAGACTGGTGCACACACTGCGTCAATGGTCGCGTTCTGGGGCCGAGACTGCTGTCCCGGAGCGCGTGTTCAATTTCCCCAGGTGTGGCCGTGTCTTGAAGATAGCACACGCACAACTGTCTGCTGGTTCCTTCTCCATCAAAGGCATCGAAGTGTGGTCTCAGCAACTGCTACTACTCCAACCACTGCAAACTTACTTCACCTGGTTACCAACGTACGTTCTACTGTGCTCTTTAGGTTTAAACAATCTGTTTATCTCACTCATTTTCTCATTGGACAGTTTGTCTTTTTCTTGTGTTTTTTTATTGTTAACAAATGAGTCTGATACTTATCATCTGTGTTGCAGACTCCCATAGTGTGGTGTCGATTTGAGTCCCAGCTGGTGCGCCTGGAAAGGCTGTGGATGATGGCCTGAGTGCTTGCAAGGCCCCTGCCATCACCTGGGAGACTCAGATGGAATTCTAGGCTTCTGGCTTTCACTTGGACCAGCCCTGGTTGTTGCAGCCATTTCAAGGGTGAACAAGCAAATGGAAAAAAAATCTCTCCCTGTCACTCTCACTTTCAAATAAATCAGTGTTTAAGAAAATCAAAACTGGGATCGGTGCTGTGGTGTAGTGGGCTATGCCTGCACCTGTGGTGTCGGCATCCCATGTGCGTATAGGTTCTAGTCCCAGCTGCTCTTCTTCCAATCCAGCTCCCTGCTGATGGTCAGGGAAAGCAGTAGAAGATGGCCCAAGTGTTTGGGCCCCTCCCTGCACCTGCGTGGGAGACCAGAAAGAAGCTCCTGGCTTCAGCCTGGCCCAGCCCTGGCCGTTTTGGCCGTTTGGTGAGTGAACCAGCTGATGGAAGATTCTCTCTTGCTTTCCCTCCCTCTGACTGTAACTCTACCTTTCAAATAAATAAAATATTAAAAAATCAAAGCTACATGAAAATACACACTGAGAAGTCAAGGTTCCTTCCTTGTGTTACTCATAGTTCCCCTTCCAGTGCTTGTTTATGCAAATGTGAACAAAAAGCTACAGTACTTTTCTTCCCCACCCTTTTGTAGGGTAATAGATTCCTGTACCATTGTTCACTAGCAGTCTTTCCTAACAGGACACAGATATCGTCCTCTTCATTTCCTTCTGCAGGAATGCAATCTACATTGTGTGAAGTAATAATGGTTTATTCTGATTCCAGTATATGTCTATACACTGGAGAGATTAACCCTTTGTAATATGAGTTGCAAGAAATATTTTTCCCACATAGTCATTAGTCTTAAATTTGCTTAAGATGTATTTTGCTAGGCTATACTTTTATTTTTATGTAATTATATCAATACTTCCTTTCATGGCTTTTGAAATTTGAATTATAGGTCTTTCCCGCTTTATGAATCCAATGAATTCACTTATATTGTCTGAATACTTTTGAGTGCTCTGTTTGTTTTCTATTTAGATCTTTGATATATTTAGACTTTATCTGGTATATATGCTGTTTTTTTTTTTTTAAGATTTATTTATGTATTTGAAAGAGTTACACAGAGAGAGAGAGGTGTCTTCCATCTGCTGGTTCACTGCCCAGTTGGCCACAACGGCTGGAGCTACGCCAATCTGAAGCCAGAAGCCAGAAACTTGCTCCAGGTCTCCTACATGTGTGCAGGGGCCCAAGGACTTGGGCCATCTTCTACTGCTTTCCCAGGCCATAGCAGAAAGCTGGATCGCAAGTGGAGCAGCCGGGACTCGAACCAGTGCCTATATGGGATGCGGACATTGCAGGCAATGGCTTTACTGGCTAAGCCACAGCACCGGCCCCGGTATGCTATATTTTACAATTGACTATCCAGTTGTCTCAACACTGTTTAAAAGTATATTTTCAATGATAAGAAATACTGTCTTGTTTCTTGTGTATTTAAGATATATTTTATTTATTTGAAAGAGTTATGGGTTGAAGGGGAGAGAGAGAGAGTCTTCCATCCACTAGTTTACTCCCCACATGGCTACAACGGCCAGGGCTGGGCCAGACCAAAAGCCAGGAGCTGCTTCTGGGTCTCCCAGGTGGGTGTAGGGTCCCAAGGGCTTGGGCCATCTTCCACTGCTTTCCCAGGCTCATTAGCAGGGATCTGGATCAGGAGCAGCTGGGACATGAACCAGCGCCCATCTGAGATGCCAGGGCTCCAGGCGGTGGCTTGACCCACTGCACCACAATGCTGGCCCCATACTTCTCTATTTGGATTTTCTCTTCAGTTGCTCTGGTCTTTCTATTTAAGCACTAGTAACACTATTTCAATTGTTCAATCGCTATTTCAATTGAGGCTTAATGGTGCTTAACAAAGTAGATTTTTTTTGTCCATCCTTACTGCCCTTACTTTCCAATGTTAGGGCAGTAATAGATCTCAACTTTTCAAAGAATTGTGGGATGCTTCAAGCTTGAGAAGCACTGGAGGTCGTCCAGGTTTTGTTTTTGGCAGGGAAAACTCTGTAGAAATTGTCTTGCTTTCTCTCCCTGAACACCATGCCACAGCACCTGCCATCAGTTATTACAGTGCAATCGTATCTCATGGACAGGTGCTTTACTTAAATCTATACTGAGGCATGGCCAATGCAAAAGAGTAAGAAGAAACCTGGAATGTGTTGTATTATCTAGGATTCAATGGGTGCACTCTTTGAACTAATTTATCACTTCCTCTTCCAAACTTTCTGGAAGCTCATTCTGCTTTCCTGTCCATGTGGGAACTCCTAACTCCCAGAGACGAAGGTGAGTTATTCTTGTTCTGTGCCAAGGAAGAAGAGGAGGTAGGTTCGGCAAATATTCACTCTGCAGGAGTTCTGTATGCTTCTGTGGTTTTCACAGGATTGCACACGTGTCTCTGGGCTGTTCAGAGAGAGTGCAAGGCCCTTCCTGTACAGAACCTTGGGGTGTTCTACTTCTCTAAAACAAGGCCTGGAGGGGCCAGCACTGTGGCGTAGCAGGTAAAGCCTCTGCCTGAGGTGCCGGCATCCCACAGGGCACTGGTCCCTGTCCTGGCTGCTCCACTTCCCATCCAGCTCCCTGCTAATGGCCCAGGAAAAGCAGCGGAGAATGGCCCAAATGCTCAGGCCCCTGCACTCACGTGGGAGACCCAGGTGAAGTCCATGGCTTCGCCTGCCTCAGCCCTGGCCATTGAGGCCACTTGGGGGATGAACCAGAATATGGAAGATTCCCCCCTCCCCTTTCTCTCCCTCTCTGTATGTAACTGTTTCAAATAAACAAATCTTAAAAAAAAAAAAAAAATCGGGCCTAGAAACATGCTGGAAGTGACAAATACATCTGCACTACTGCGTGTTCAGCAGTGGGGAGAAAGGGTGCAATAGGCAATAGGGTGAAGTCAATGACAGCAGAAATTCTCAAAAAAAATTTCACGGGTTGGGTTGATTTCAACTTTTTATTTCTAAAGCAGTTAGGATGCAATCTGATACTTAAGTGTACAGCAAATATTATTTCAATATCGGTAAATGAAGGAAAAAAGTGAATAGTACCTAAGCAACCTATAAACATCTGTAAAGCACATTGGAGATGTTAAACTTTACTCTTGATGGCTAAAACCCTTCTTGGCAAAAAATTATTCATAGAAGACTCCAAAATTCTTTTTAAACTTTTAATTGGAAGCGTAACCTATAAACAAAATCATAACAAAAGCAGAAATGTTACGGCTCAATGAAGTAACAGGAAGTAAACACCGTTGTAAATGCCATGCAAGTCAGAAAACAGACATGAGCCGGCCCAGCAGGGGCCTCGCACTTGTTTCCATCACAACCCGCTTCGTCTTCCCTCAACAGAGTCTCTCCTGGAATTTGACATGCCTATTTTTGGAACATAGGAAATGGATATCAAGCAAATGTAGATTTTTGAATGTGGTATCTTTCACTTAGGACATTAGGCTTAGATTCCTTATGTTGCTGTAAATGTAATTATTTTCATTGTTCTATAGCATCCTATGTTATAAGTGTTCCACAATGTGGGTATCTCATTATTGAAGGATATTTGAATTGTTTGTGTTTTTGATCTATTGTAAACAGTGCTGTGCACTTTCCTGGGTATGTCTTGGTACAT